TCATCATACAGAAAATCAATACTAAGTTGATTTTAAAACTCTGTAACACTATAGCTATAGAGAACTGGAAAATACAGATCATTTAAACTCTTGTTTTTACTTTAGCATGCTCCTTAATCTTTTTAAGTAATCCAGCTCCATTTCCACCAAGTCTACTGACAAAAATTTATAAAGCCCAAGCATTCAAGAACCCAGGGAAAAACCATCACCAATGATGGCTAGCATTTATTGGGTGCTTTCTATACAGGAGCACAAATCAAAAAACTTCATCTCTAGCAACCTAGCTCTCAAATTACTGATGAAATGACTAAAAAAATAAAAAACAAACAAAAAAAAACAAAACAACAACAACAAAACTAAAACCTTGGTAAATAGTGCCACTAGGTTCCAAACTCAAAAGTCTACATCCAGAGCTTATTTTCTTATGATCTGTTCATTCCATACTAACCAAATAAAAGATCTGAGTAAATGTATACATTTGTTTATTATGAAGAGATTTTTAAAGTAATTGGTACCATGGAAATCAAGAAAACTAAACTGTCCAATTAAGTCCACTTGCCACCTGTTGCAGTTAAATATAGTCTTCAAATTGAGATGTAGCTCAAATGTAAAATACCCAATTCTAAAACATAAATAATAGTAATCCAACTTCTCAACAATTTCTACATGGGTTAGTACAAAAATGATACTATTTTTAACGAAAAGATAATAGACTAAATGTGTTTTAATGTGGTAGATTAACAATATAACCTTTGATCAGAAGATTTAACATTTCATATTTGGTTCCAATTACAATTGAACCAGTCTTATATAGGAAAGACACTATTGTTTTATAGAATGTTTCTAAGCTAATCTTTTCTTTGTTTTAGTTTTTAATCTTAAAAAATACACAAACACACACAGATGAAAAAACAGGGATTAATTAAAAACAGATCCAAAACCTTCTGCTTAGTTTTGGTATCTAAATTTACTTTTTCTCTAAAAAAAATTAAAGGACATTTTGGTGAAGTAACTAATACCAACCTGAGACAATAAAATATATAAATGTGGACTATCTTGTTCAGAAATATGTACATATGTACACCACACACACAACACACACACATACACACAGAAAAGAGGGAGCTTTAAGTTTAGTTAAATCTGTCACAATTTGAAATTCAAAATAATAACAGTGATAGATTTTTATCTTTGAGAAAGAATTCACGAAATCACAGAAAGTATAACTGAGTGAGTATCAATTCTAAAAAGAAGAAACAAAGCCAGAATACTGATGACGAAAGTTTGATGAGATGATGGCAATACCTTGTTCTTGAAAGTACTTTCCCATAAGTTGCATACTAATTACAAAATGATGAATAATTTTCAGAGAGAAATATGATAAATATCTTAAGACACACCAACATCTTGAACTTCAAAATACAACGTACTGAAAACAACAGAACATTTCTTCAGTAGTTCTTCAGTAGTATTTCTACCAATTGCATAACAATCTAATCAGAAGAAAACAACAATTTCAATTTGAGGAACATCGTCAAAATAATGCCCTGTATTTTTTTTTAATGTCAAGGCCAAGAAGTACAAAGAAAAATTGAAGAAGGAAACTAAAAAAGACTAGAGACATGATAATCAATAAATGCACTTCATTATCTTAGAATGGATCTTGACCTAGGGAACAGACAAGAGTTGGACAGAGAAAATAGATAAAATTTGAAAATGAACTATAAATTAGGTAATATATGCTGACAGTGTCCTAAATAATGAAAAGCTTTGGTGCAAAGATGTCTCCAAATAATTACTCTCAAATTGGGTTGTGTGTGTATGTGTATGTGCGCGAGTGTGCATGTTTCAGACAATAATGAAATTTAATATACAAGATATGAAAAAACTGGTTTACACAGGCAAGTGTAACTATTAGTTCCTGATTTGACAATTTAAAGATGCAAATTATACCAAAATTAATTTTTTAAAAAATTGGCCTGAACCAGCTTAAATATTTTAATTACTTTTCAAGTCTGAATAATGTTTTTACTGTATTAATATATTTAATGTTATACTTAGCTGTTTTTAATTTTATAAGTCATTAGATACTAATTATATTATTTATTCCATAAGGAATGTTCAGTGTCATTCTGGTTAGTAGATACTAATTATACACTCTATAAAATATGAGACCGTGTCTTTTAATGTTTAGTATAATTCTGAATGCTAGGATAATAGTCGCACATACAGTATGCACTCAAGCATTTGTTACATGAAGACATTCAAAATTATACATAGAAAGATTATAAAAAGCCCATTATAAACAGAGCCATCGATTGGGACAAAACTTGAAGGACACTTTTTAAAATTTAAAACAAAACCAGAAACGAATCTGAGGAGTAAATCTAAGGCAAAGACATAGGTCCTACAATTATAAAAGAAATATTTTTAGACAGGTTCAAACATTTTCCCTTCTCAATCACTATAATCATTCACTGATAGTGAAAATAACTTTCTTCCCCAAATTTTCAGACAATATACATAACAAAAAGACCAATCATTTTTGTTTAACAAGTGAGATTTCAAGAAATGTAATTTGAGACTTAATATGAATTAGCTGTATAACCTGAATATGCTTATGATTTCCAACCCTTGCTGAAAACCAAGACTTAAACCATTTTCTTTCTCAATAGCCAGAAGAATGTTTTATATACAAAGGTATTTCAATCAATAAGAGCACTGATTATTCAATATAGAAATGTATACATTTATACATCTACATACTGCATATAAGTCACACACATACATATAAGGAATAGATTTTCTGCAAAGTGCTATATCATAGCAAAGGATAGTTTTAAATAATGACTTTTATCACCTATTCACACCACAATTAAATGAGACCACTCCCCCAGCCAACAGGTATATATTCTATTTAGAAGGGTTTTGTTACTTAAAAATAGCAATGACAAAGACAATATACAAGATGGATCTCAGCAGAAAAACTGGGACTGTGAAACAATTTCTCAAATATGGCTGTTGCCCAGGAAAATATTTTCATGTATGGTTCAATATAGTTGTCTATAACACTGAAAGTGTAAAACAGATTACAGAATACTAAATATTCAAAAATCTAACCTCATTTCCCATTAAATCAATTTGTTTCACTTAGTTAAAATTTGACTTTGAAAAGTACATGTATTTTTTTATTCAAAGACATACTAAATGCATTTAGTGACACGGCATGAGAAAAACAAATCGTCAAATACCGTAAAACAAAATTTAAGCATGGTCATCTTCAAAACACTGGGTGCCTAACACAGTTCTGTAAGCGGGTACTACAATGCTGTCAGTGCTATTTGTTGGACTCCACTAGAAGGAACTCGACAATTTCTAGGTGGGTTTTCAACGGAACAGATCTAAACGTAAGTAACTGTCAAAATGAGTCCACTTTGTATTCATGTTCGTACGGACACATTTTGTATGAGGTTTCTTTTTCACACACACACACACACACACACACCCCTTTCCATATAACTTTACCACAGATAAAACCAAAATACATTTTATAAAGGTGACATACTGCTCTGAAGAGTAAACTGCTTAAGCATCACCGAAATGTTCCTAAATCAGAGTACCCTTCCTTCTGTTTTCATATTGACATTCATTCTGTATGGCACATTACTGAACTGGAGTTGCTTCTGGTTTCATCCACTATGACTAGCGAAAACAAGACAGACTTTAGGGCTCTAACCAAACAAATCCGAGAGGGGTGGGAAAGGGGGACAGGGCGCGAGGTGGCGCAAGAACAGATGAAAACAAGGTAGGAGAGAGTTGTCTTCCCAAGGAACTGAGCTTACTATATTCAACTCCAAAGGCTGACAACTACTCGTCAGAAAAGAAAACCGACCCAACCACCCACTCCTAACACCGACCAGCCTCCACTCCCACCTCTTCCCCTCAAATGCTACCCCGTAACCCCTACCGAAGCACACCCTCCGCAGCCCCTCTATTGCACTGAACCAACCTGCTGGGTAACAGCTGTGGGCACACGTCGCACTCTGGGGAAGGAAAAGCAGTGACCGCAACAAGGCTGGGAGTCCCAGTACTTCCCGCTACCCAGAGCAGCCCACTGAATGACAGCCTGGACCAGCGCGGAAGTTTGAAGCAAAACCAATCAGACCCCACAGAAACGGAAAACTGAATTGCATTTGAACGGGAATAAGAGGTGGGGAGGGCTACGCGAGTCCATCACATGACAGCAAAAGAGGACCAGAGTCGTCGGGGCGTCCTCAAGGAAAAGGGGAGGGGGGGCGTGGGGAGGGTGCCGTCGCCATAGCAACACCCCCCATCCGTCCAGACTTCCAAAGAGGGAGGAAGAACTTCAAATCCCAACCGTCAGCGCTCGAGCGGCTCCTTCTTAAAGGGGTACACACAGATCCGAGGCCGCGCGCAAGAGGGCAGAGGCGGCCGCCCCCCGCCCCTCAGGCGCCGCCCCCATCGCCCCTCGGCCCTCTCCGGCCCCCGCCCCGCGAGCGCCCCGCAACCCCTGGTCCCGCGTCCCGGGAACTAAGCAGCGTCTTCCCGGCCAGCCCCCGGCGGCAAGAAGGGGGTGTGTGAGCGCCCAGCGGGGAGCGCGGACCGGCCCGCCGCTACAGGGTCCCCTCCGCCCCGGTGGAGAGCCGCGGTGACAGGGGCACCGGCGGGTGGCGACGGGCGCCGCGGAGTTTCGGGGCAGCGCGAGCGGGCGGGCTGCTTCCGCGGGGTGCTCGGAGAGTGGGTCCGAACTAACAGTTCCCCGGGAGCCCGGAGCCGGGCAGGCGGGCGGCGGGGCGCGGACCGCGCCGGGCAGGGAGCCCCGAGACAAAAGGCGCCGCCGGGGCCGCCGCGCCGCCGCCGCTCCCATCGCTCCCCATTGAACTGACCCGAACCGGAGCTCCAACTACACCCCTCAGCCACAAACTCCTCCGGCAGCCGCACAGCGGCGCGGAGCCCGGCCCGGCCCGTGTCTCTCTTACCTACACAGTGCATGAGGCGGTGGCGCCAAGAGTCGAGTTCCCGCCGGAATCCTCTCCTCTCCGCCGCGCACCGAGGGCTCCGGCACTGAGCGGCAGCGGCGGCGGCGGCAGCAGCGGCGGCAGCGGCCATTCTCTCTCTTCCCTTGTCCATCTGCGTCCCGCGTCACGCGCCCTCATTTACATACGAGCCGCGCAGGCACGAGGCAGGGGCGCGAGCCCTCGGCGCGAGCCCCGGAGCGCGCGCCCCCCGGAGGGGGGTTGATTGACACGTGTCACTACCTTCCTTCTGCCCTCCCCTCCCCCTCCCACCGCTCCCTCAGGGAGAGGCGGGGAGGGAGCGCGGAGAGAAGGAAGCAACCTGCCGCTTCCGCTGACCCCGCCTCCTTATCCACTCCCTTCCCCTCCTCCCCCCGGAGTTTACTCAGGCAAGCCATACTGCTCCCGCGGTCCACGAAAACCCTGAGCGGGAGCGAGAAACCCCGAGGCCAGCCAGGAACCCGCGTGCAGGAGGAGCGGACTAGCAACGCCTCCCTTCTGCCCCCGCGCGGGGGCTCTGGAAGTCCGCAGACTTCATTTCCCAGCCTCCATTGCGTGCAGGTTCCGTAGGGGAGCTCAAGAGAGTGACTCTGTGCACTCTGGGCTTTGTAGTCCACTCGCGTTGAGCGCTCTCCGAGCCAGTTCTCACTTTTCCAGCTAGCTGCCTGGCCCCAGACTTCAGGTGCTTTGCCCCTGGTGGGTTTAGCCTCCTACTCCCTCCGCCCAAATGTCTGCAGGGCGGACCTTGCGAGGGCCTGTGTTTAGCTTCCTCAAGTTCCGTGTGGGGAGTAATGTGGAAGCCTCTAGAGTAGCCGGTGTCTTGAACGGCCGGCCAGGCAGCTCTTTAAGAGCTGGAAACTTTTCGGGGTCAATGTCATCTGTCTTCACTTTCAGCGAAAGCGCATGCCAGTCATTCCACTACATCCAGGAAAGAAGGGCGAGGACATCAGTTTTCGAAGCGAAGAGATCTTGAAAAGTATGAATAGTTACAAAGATCGGGGGAACATTGAAGAGGCTTTTCGCCATAAATAATGGGTGTAGCTGGCTGAATACTCCAAGGAAGGAAATCTCACATAGTCCTCAAAATGTAAACTCTAGGAAGACAATGACTCACTAAGACTTTGGTGCCTTGACTTTTTTTTCCCCCTGCCTAACCTAGCATGGGATTTAGCACTTTGTAATTGTTACAGATGGAGCCTGCTCTGTGCTAGAGAAAATTTCCTTGGAGAGAGGAAATCTTTTGATTAAGTATATATTTAAAATTACTTTTTTTTTTTTAACTTTAGTACCAGAGCCGTTTCTACACTTATTTCTGTATAGCCACAGGGGACTAAAAGCTGTAAGCCATCCAGAGTTTACAGAGAAGTACTGTACATTACTGGGCATTCATACTCACCTCTGCCCTCTGCAGAGAAAAATATTTTAATTCTTGGAACTCAAATTCTCAATTCTGTAGTACCCTCTATTTTGTGGTATATTCTCATCTATCATTCTTTTTTTCTTCTTAGAGTAGTTTCTTGCTCAGCATTGCCTCAGTAGTAAAAATGTAGCATTACATCTTCATCAAAAAGTTTTGAATGTGAAGTTTGAAGCCATGTGTTTACCAATAAATGTTTGCAGTCCTATCATTTGGGAGGCTAGAATAAGGTTATGTCATTTCAGTAACAGAAGTTTAAAGTAGGAGTGGCTTATCTCCATAGAGTGGGAGGATGGAATGGTTGTAATAGAACTTTTCCATCTAAAAGCTCATCAGACACCATGACAAGAGACACCAAAACATGCCCCAGGTTTTAGAAGCTTCTGATTAAAGTAACTTCTTAATGAAAGTATGTGGTCATGCTAACTTGAAAGGCATGGTGGGTTAAATAACTATGAGAGCCTAACAAACCACCCAAAACTTAATGCCTAAGAATATCAACTATGGGATAATGATGTGGATTAGCAGATAAAGGGACTTTCATTTCTGAGGGATAGCTGTCTGCCAGGATCACAGAAACCAGTTTTCCTAGTCTTCAAGGGGACCTACCCCAACTTGTTCACATGGTGGCTGTCACAGGGTTCCAAAAAGCAGCATGGGAGCTAGTAGCCCCAATTCATAAGCATTTTTTTAAAATTTATTCACTTTACATCCAGATCTGTCCCCTTCCCCCCACAGTCTCTCTCCTCCAGTCTGAGAGAATAAAGGACCCCCTGGATATCCCTCCCCCAACCACCCAGCACCTCAGGTCTCAACATGGATCACATTTAGGTCTCAATGGTTAAAACAACAAGCACAGTGTCAATATGGGTAATACATTATGCTACACAATAGGAAGACGTGTAAGTCACATGAAAGGGGGAATTAAATGTTTCTCCCAAATAAAGAGGAAATACAAAGAGGAATAGAACACATCTCCAAGCTTTCTGAGAAAAAAAGGGAAAACCATAACTAGATACAATGACATATATAAATGGAAATACCTTTGGGAATCAGTTTTACTGACAATAGCATGGAATCTTTCATAGTATGTATGTCAGCCCATTATAACCATCCTCATAAACATAGACCCCTCAGGTTATTTCAGTTTAAGCATCTAGTGTTCTTCCTGATACTCAGTTGATACTTAATTGTTATCTATTAATTTGATGACTAATTAGAATATCTATAAAGCCAACAGGAGAAAGAAGGTGATATCCAATATTGTCTTTTATACCAAAAAATTCAGCTGCAACAGACTTTACATAACAAATATGTGATATGAAGCTATAGATGCACAAATGACAGTCTCGTCCCGTGTACTTCCTGTACCTATTGTATCCATCATTTGTTATTATGTAACAACAGTATCTTTAAAAGCACAATCATTTCTTACTACTCTAAATTTATAGATCAGATGGGCTGTTGAGCTGATCTGGTGAGGCTCTGCAAATCTTGTTTGGGATGGTCAGTGCTTGAACTTGCCTATGTAAAGCCAGCATGGGAAGCACAAGAGGGTAAGTATTGACATGCAAATGTTTTTCATGTTTGCTTGTCATTCTTCTACTGGTCAAACCCAAGATGTGAGTGGAAAGATGCTACCAAACCAACTTCATAAAGGTGTTACTCCTTTATTGGGTGGATACCCAAACTGCCATGGATATCCACCCAATTTCACTAGGACCCACCAAAAGCTGACAGTACATCAGTAGACATCTCATGGCTACTCGCAAGTTATTAATATATTTATTTGACTATTTAACCATCAATTTTAAGGTACATTTTAGGAAAGCATGATGTAATGTAGATTAAACTGAGTAGTTTGCAATATATTTCCAAACTAAAAATACCCATTTAATTACAAATTTATTAATATGTAACACAAAAGTACATTTTACAATTTAATAAAATTTAAACACTTGTGTGCATTATACACTTGCAACTATAAAGCATAAAAGATAAAGCATAAAAGATACCTTAATTAATTATACAAAGCATTATGGTGCTGATAAGCCCTGTTTTGATGATCTGCTTTTAAATAATCACACTTTATTTTATTTCCTTTAGTTCTGAACTGTAATGTATTGCACTGATTGGAAATTTGAAAAAAAAATTAGAGACACACTGATTGTATCATTCTACAATGTATACATGTATACATGTACCCAATTAGCACACTATAGTCTATGAATGAAGCACAATTAAAAAAGAAAAATCAGAGAGAAGTTTGATTAATCAGTTATATAGGACCTGGACCTTAGCCCTTGTCCACAAAATTTCTGATCAGCACATATATCATTTTCAACATCATGCAGGTACCGTAGGTCCATCTGTATTCATGAACAAAAGATTTCATAATTTCCTTCTATCTTATAAGAGCATAGGCTATGAACAATATCATATCAGATTTATATGTCTAATACATTTGTTATCTGTACTTCAGCTGAATCATAAAGACACATAAAATACATTATTTTGTTTTCTTAATGCATTCCCAAATGCATTTCGTATCAACAGCTTTCTGTACATTTTGTAGGAACAGGGACAAAAATTCAAAAGAGAATAATAGTTTAGGAAATAGATGGTAATGGTGATGAAATGTGTTTCTTAGATTGTAATATCTACCTCTTTCCTATCCGAAGGCTAACCTGAATGTACGTAAGAACAGGCTTAATAGCTACTCCAGTTCTGTCATCTCAGGGTGGTTTCTCAAAAATTATATTCCTAAAATAAGTGCAACTGTTGAGTATTTTAAAAGCATTACTGCTATGTCCTGTTATCATTTTCATAATAAATATCATGTAGTTAGCCATAATTTTTACCTTACTGATAAACTGCTAATATAGCCAATGCTGAAATTAAGTATTTTTCTAGTTTTTAAAAAGTAAAATTATACACCTCTGAGATTGGTCTTTGAATTTCATACCAGTTGCCATCTTCTCTGTCTTGAATCCAGGCATGATAATCGGACCTGATAGATCTCTGCGTTTTGTGTCCATTAGAAATCACTCCCTTGGACTAATGCAGTGTTACCACTTTCATTTTCAGTCTTCTAATAAAATCGCAATGTATTAGAGGCTCAATAATGCCAATTTTATCCAATTTAGTCAAATTGTATGGCTCAGTATCAAAGTCAAATAAAAATATCTATGGTGCCTAAACTATTAGTTTAGAAGAAATACAGTTTTATAGAGAGAACAACTGGGACCCTGAGAGAATAATCTATGTAAGTCCAAAAGTTTACGAGATTACCTATAGGAGCTCAATTTTCTTATTCCTAACCTTGTCAGTTTTGGCTTATTTTTGTTGTTGTTTAATTTTTGAGACTTAAATCAATGAGTTCTCTGTTTACATCATTTCCACACATCCTGTTCCCCCTTCCACCTCCTCCTGTCCCCCTTCTCAAATTCATAATCTCTTCTTTAATTTTAATTATTACACACACACACATGTGTATGTGTGTATATACATGTCTGCTTTTCAATATTTCTATATCTTTATAGGATTCAGTTTTTAAGTCCTGGATTGCCTTCATTTCATTCATTTGTACATTTGTATCACTTGGACGTCACTAAGGCATTTATTGCTGATTATCCTCTTTCAGTTCATGGAGTTGTTTGTTCCTGCCTTCTCGAAACACCCTGAAGTTTTGATCAAAT